TCTAATTATTACGAGTGTATGAAGTTAACAATAGTAATAGTAAAACAATGTTACAAACAATCTAATTATTACGAGTGTATGAAGTTAACAATAGTAATAGTAAAACAATGTTACAAACAATCTAATTATTATGAGTGTATGAAGTTAACAATGGTAATAGTAAAACAATGTTATGAATAATCTAATTATTACGAGTGTATGAAGTTAACAATGGTAATAGTAAAACAGTGTTATAAATAAATTAATTAATTATTGTCTTTTCTATAGAACTTTTATTTTGTTCGAAACACAGTCACCAGTCTTTTCTATGTAACATTATTTTAGTTGGAAACATACCGATGAGTCTTTTCTATGTAACATTATTTTAGTTTGAGACATACCGATGAGTCTTGTCTATATAATGTTATTTTAGTTTGAGACATACCGATGAGTCTTTTCTATATAATGTTATTTTAGTTTGAGACATACCGATGAGTCTTTTCTATATAATGTTATTTTAGTTGGAGACATACCGATGAGTCTTTTCTATACAATGTTATTTTAGTTGGAAACATACCGATCAGTCTTTTCTATATAATGTTATTTCAGTTGGAAACATACCGATCAGTCTTTTCTATATAATGTTATTTTAGTTGGAAACATACCGATCAGTCTTTTCTATATAATGTTATTTTTACTTGAAACCAGTGCAGAAAGAGTTAAAAATTAGTATCAGTGTTTTATTACGTCATTTTACACAAAGAAGCAAAATTTTCAGTCATTATCATTAATGACAGAGGTTTTAAATAAAGTTTATCAATCTACTAAATGTGAGAGAAAAGTTTCAAACAGAGCTAGGTTGTCTTTAGATAATATTGTATATAGCCTTGATTATATCTATATCAACTTTACACCCCACAGCCTTGTCAGGAATCCAACACTGCCAATAATCGTACGAATCGTGTTAAGTGTACAAAATATTACTGTAATGATACAGATATCTTGTGCGCACATTCATGACTATTCCGATTTCCTTGTGACGTATATAAAATACATTTCTAATAATGTAATAACTAACTTGCGCCATCTCGTGAGCAGCTTATTGATTGTAAAATTCTTTACCAAGTATACACAAAATACTACTCTACTAGGTTTTTTATAGTATCCTGTATTCTACTAGAATATCTAGTATATGTAGGTTTCCTTCCTGTATTGTACTATAGTATCTAGTTTATGTAGGTTTCTTCTTGTATCGTGTATTCTACTATAATATCTAGTATATGTAGGTTTCTTCCTGTATTGTACCATAGTATCTAGTTTATGTAGGTTTCTTCCTGTCTTTTACTATAATTCCTAGTTTACGTAGGTTTTTTCCTGTATCCTGTCTTCTACTATAATATCTAGTTTATGTAGGTTTCCTTCCTCTATCTGTATTGTACTATAGTATCTAGTTTACGTAGGTTTCTTCCTGTGTTGTACCATAGTATCTAGTTTATGTAGGTTTCTTCCTGTATCATGTATTCTACTATAATATCTAGTTTATGTAGGTTTCTTCCTGTATCGTGTATTCTACTATAATTCCTAGTTTATGTAGGTTTCTTCCTGTCTTCTACTATAATATCTAGTACATGTAGCTTTCTTCCTGTCTTCCACTATAATATCTAGTACATGTAGGTTTCCTTCCTGTATCCTGTATTGTACTATAGTATCTAGTTTACGTAGGTTTCTTCTTGTATCCTGTATTCTACTATAATTCCTAGATTATGTAGGTTTCTTCCTGTCTTCTACTATAATATCTAGTACATGTAGGTTTCCTTCCTGTATCCTGTATTGTACTATAGTATCTAGTTTATGTAGGTTTCTTCCTGTCTTCTACTATAATATCTAGTTTATGTAGGTTTCTTCCTGTATCCTGTATTCTACTATAATATCTAGTACATGTAGCTTTCTTCAAGTATCTTTTATTCTACTATATATCTAATACATGAAGCTTTCTTCCTGTATCCTGTATTCCACTATAATATCTATTCTATGTAAGTTTCTTCCTATATCCTGTATTCTACTATAATATCTAGTACATGTAGCTTTCTTCCTGTATCCTGTATTCTACTATAATATCTAGTACATGTAGCTTTCTTCCTGTATCCTGTATTCTACTATAATATCTATTCTATGCAGGTTTCTTCCTATATCCTGTATTCTACTATAATATCTAGTACATGTAGGTTTCTTCCTGTATCCTATATTCTACTATAATATCTACTCTATGTAAGTTTCTTCCTATATCCTATATTCTACTATAATATCTATTCTATGTAAGTTTCTTCCTATATACTATATTCTACTATAATATCTATTCTATGTAAGTTTCTTCCTATATACTATATTCTACTATAATATCTATTCTATGTAAGTTTCTTCCTGTATCCTATATTCTACTATAATATCTGGTACATGTACGTTTCTTCCTATATACTATATTCTACTATAATATCTAGTCTATGTACGTTTCTTCCTATATACTATATTCTACTATAATATCTATTCTATGTAAG